AAATTTTTATCTTTGAAATTTGTTCTTTTGCTTATTTTTCATCTAAACTATCAAAAAGTTCGTCTCACTGCTGCATTATTTTTAATTTAATTTAGGTATGACAATTTTTACAGTGAAATATTTTCTTTAAGTTACAATCTTTGACATTTAATTTCTGCAAACTTAAATTTAACATTTAATTTTTGCAATTTTAATTTTAACATTTTAATATTTATTTAATAATATGAGAGAAGTAATCAATTTGACCTGCATATACAATGTCCGAGTGTGGTCATTTATAAATGATGAGAATCAAAAAAATTCTTTAATGTATTAAATTATTAGGCTAAGTTGAAATATATTTCGAATCAAATTCTGATATTATATTATGAACCATAAAAAGCATATTTGACCTCTTTACTTGGCTTTTTGCCATCTTTTTCAGAATCCCAATCGCTGAGTACATCGTCCATGGTTGGATAATCACCTTTGCCACGCGTTTCCTTACCTTTCGCTATTCGTTCCTGTAATATTTAAATGATAAATAAGTTATTGATTATTCGACATTTCCATTTATTCGATTAAAAGTTTGTCAAAATACTTGAAATTTTGGTGAGAATTCACGCATTATCAGTTTTGTCATTTAAATAATTTGAAATGATATTCATTCACTTGATCATTTCTTAAAATAATAATTAAAAAATTTGCAAATAATAATTTTTTTTTTTTAAATCAAAAACAATATTTTACAACCTCTTTAGCGTTACGTTCCATAATTTTAGGTTTTATTTTTTCCAGTTTTTCCTCCGCCTCTTTTAAACGTCTCTTTTCCTTTTCTGCTAAATTTAAAAAAAAAAAAAAACGAAGGCAGAAATTTTGTTAAAATTTTCCAAAATTAAGATTAAAAGTTTTTTAAATTTGCACATAAACATTTTGGATTTCTTTATTAAAGTGATAATAATTTCTCGAGCAGTATTCAAACTGTGCTATTAGTATGTAATGCTTTTTAAAGTTAAGCGTTACTACTTTTCACAAAAATGTTTAAATGAAATTTTCAAATAATCAAGCAAGCATTCAAATACCATCATCAACAGCTGAAGTATGTTGTTCCTCCGGTGCAGCCTTATTTTTGCCATTTGGACTGCTACTTTTTTCCTGTTTCTCTTTTAGTTTCTCTCGTTTTGGAGTTTGCACACGTTTCACCTTCTCTTTTCTCTCAAATTTAACAATTGAATGATTTAATTAATTAATTGAATGTTAGTAAAATCGATGAAGTATTATTTTAAAATGTTGAAATTAACATAAATAATGCCATTTTTATTCTCTTCTCGCTTCTCTTCCTCAAATGAACGGTATTTGAAATGATTGGTGAAATGGACATGTTAAAGAACATTTTTAGAATTTACAATTAAATTTGACTAATAGCATGCAAATTTTTTCTATATGAATTGAAATTATTCATATAAATAAAATTTTTTGAAGCAAATTTCAATTAATGACATATTTTCTATGAATTATACAAATAATATCAATACTGAAAGGTATTTACACGTAAAAACTATCCAACCATAATGTATTCTAAAAAACATTTTAACAGTATTTTCGTTCATTTTGATGAATTTCATCAATGATAAAAATGCTTTACATATTGAAGTTTGAATGGAAAATGAGTGAACTTTTGTTTAGTTATTTATAAAATTTCAATTATGATAAATTTTATATTTTGAATTGTTGAGTGTATTTTATTAGTTGTTAAATATGTTTTGTAAGTTTGACTTTTTTATTTAAAAATAATTGGAAAAGTTAATTTGAATATAACTGAAAAATTGTGCCAATCTCTACTTCAATTTTGTGTTTCCGTTCTTCAATTTGTTGCTTTTTGCGTGCGCATTGTACGAATGAAATGACAATTATAACACCTAACTGTAATGAAACGATTTTATTGTTAAATAATTTAAATACTAATTTCAAATTTAATTAACGAAGGTTTTCATTTCTATGAATTTATTTTAAATAATTAGCCAACTATTGCATATTCAAAATGAATTTGTAACATTTTCAATTTTTCTTTTCTTCTTAAACAGTAATAATGTGGATGGTTTTTTTTTTTTTTTAACAATAAGCATTTTCTTCTAAGTTATTCATTTTAAAGTGGGCAATAGCATTCTTCTATTTTTTCTACATTTATAAGGATGACAATGTCCACTCCAAAAATTCTTTCTCTTTTTTATGAAATTCCGAAATTGCTTACCAATATTTGATGGAAAATTGTAAGAAAAATGGCAAAAAGTGTTTGATTGATGCATAATGTTGATGTCATCATTTTCTGTCTAAAATACAATTATTATTAAATTAATTAAACATTTTTGCAATAGACTTAAAATTTAGCAGAGTATTGCAAAAAATTAAATGATAATAGAAAATTCATAATTCCCACCAATCGTTTTCTATGATTTGTACAATGAGCAATCAGTTACATTGAACCTATTTATATAACTTAACTTAATATCTAAAAAATTTTTGTAATTTGTAATAATTTTTAAAAATTACCATATGATTAATTAGTTTCTGAATCCTTATATTTTCCTTGTTACTTTCGATGAAATATGTATTTTTTCATTGAGTAAAGTAAAAATAAAAATGATCCTATCTTTCCAA